AAGACCTCCCTCATCCTTGGCCCTATCTCAAAGAATTTTTCAAAATTGTCATAAAATTGAGCTTTCAATTCATATAGTGGCTTATAGTATAGCATATAGTAGTTTTTAAAGATTACTTTATACTTTAAGTAGTTTTTGGAGCACATACTTTTTCACTTTTACTTGAGTAAAGCGGTCAAGTTGATACTTCAACTTTTACCAGAGTGTTTTTAAACTGCAGTATCTATGCTTCTACTTAAGTTACAAATGTTTGTACCTTTGACACCACTGCTATGTCCCTTTTTCTTTCTGTGACCAAATGCTTTTAACTTATGAGCTGGTGCAGTTAATAGTCTTCTGTATTGAAACCCGTTTGAGAGTCATTGTTCCACTTTTCAAATTCAACCCAAAGCTTTGCTTGTTTCATATCTCCTGCTTGTTTGATTGTTAATTGTTCTTGGGATCAAATGTCAATGATGTAACTGGAACTACTCAACACTGAAGGCACACTTCTCTTGGAGAGTTTTTAAAACAAACCACTTCCGGTTCAACTTTCTGTTGCTGATGGCTGCTAAAGGCTAGATTTAAGCACTAGGTTTCAGTACTCCTTAGCTGAAGGCTACACTAAGCAGCAACTAAATCCCTATGGAGTGGACTGTGCTTGATTGTAGTGCCTGTCTATTTTTTATTTTTATTTGTCATTCAGAAGGATCTGATAATATTTTTTTTCTTGTTTTTTTTTTTTTTCATGCAAGTCAAACCGAGTTGAACGTAGCATAAACAGACCTAATCCAGCTCTGACCTAAATCTAATTAATTGCAGACCCCATGCATTAAAAAGCATGGGGTCTCAACCGCACCCTCTCCCAAATACATCTCAAGTCTCCGCTAAGTGGGGGGGGGAGCTGCACGGCATGGTGGGGTGCGGGTCTCGGGTCCTGTTTTGGGCTCCGGTTTTTCCGCTCGCACTTCTCCTCTTGCATATTTATTTTAATTGTATTTATTAATTTATTAATTAATTAATTGATTTACTTATTTATTTATTTATTTTTATTTATTTTTTTTTTCTTTCTTTTCTTTTTCTTCCTCGGTGGGGGGGAGCGGTGTGGGCAGGTCGGTGTCTGGTGTCCACTGTCGCATTGTGGGGGCTCTTTTTTTTTTTTTTTCTTCTTTTTTTTTTGGGGGGGGGTTTGGCATGTCTGTTTTTCTCGGGGGGCGGGCGGGCCTGCTGGGTGGGGGTCCTGCTTGCGGCGCGTCGCTGGTGTGTGGGGGTCCGGGCGGCTCCGGCGGGGGTGGTGTTGGGGGGCCGGTGTGGGCGGGCTGGCTGCGCTAACTGGGTGACTGGCATGGCGGAGCTGCTCTGTTCCCGCTGATCGCGGCGGGTGAGGTTGCGGGGCGGGTGGGGGGTTGGAGTGGCTCTGGCCGGCGCGTATTGGGGGGCCGGGGCGGCGGAGCTGCTCTGGCCGCGTGTCAGGGCCTGGTGCGGGCGGCGGGGTTGGGGCGGCGGACGTGGCTGTGCTGCTTTGGCTTCGTCCGGTGGGGGAGCGGCTTGGTGCGCTCCGCTCTGGCTTTGTGCTGCCCCTCGGGCTGCTGGGGGGGGGGGGTGTTTGCGCCGGCTGCGGTCTGCTCTTCTTGCGGTTCTGCGCCGGGCGGCTTTTCTGCTCTTGGGTTGATTCTGTGCGCGGTGTGTTGCGTTGCGCGCTGTTGGCGTCGGTCTTGGTGGGGTGGGGCTGCGCTTTTGGCCGGGGGGGTGTTTTGGGGGGGTCCCGCGGCGCTCGCGGCGGATGCCCGTGTGTGTTTTTCCTGGGTGGTGCGGTCGCGGTGGGTGTTGCGGCCGGTCGCCGGGGCTTGGTGCCGGGGGGCAGGGCGTGTTTCGGTGCTCTGTAGGGCTGGGGCGTTTCGTTCGGTGCCGTGGGGGGGCTGGTGTTCGGTGCCCGGCCCTACTTCAGGGTGGCCGGCTGCCGGCGGGGCCCGCGGACTCGTCCCCGCGGCTCCCCTGCATAATTATAATAAAGCAATTTATATGCATGAAACAAGTTGAGCAGTATGGCAATTGCCATACCGCTACACTGGTGAAAGTAAAATCTGTTGGGCTCCTAAAAAAAAAAAAAAAAAAGTTTTGAACTGTCGTGGATTTTCTTTCTTAACGACTTAAAAATTGAAACTAAGTTTTATAAAAATTCAAAGTTCTCAAAAGGCAGAAAAAGTCTTCAACCAAAAATGTAAGAAACAGGCAGAGGTCACGGATTTCCAAGTCCAGAGTGTTTTATTGCAAAACACAGCATCCACACTTAGCTGTTCTCCGGAAAACAACTGACAATACAATGAAACAGCTTCCCTTTTATACATTTCAAGCTATGGGGCTCCTCCCCCAAGCTCCTCCTTTCTTTTTTCATCAATTTACATGCATTTCTTCGGTTAAGTCTAATTAATTTTCTTTTACCGGTGGAAAGTCCTTTTCAAAACACATTTTTTATATATTTAATCAACAAACACTTCATTATATGTCATGATTACTTTTCTTATAAGTCATAATAACATATGTTTGCCCTTAAATCAACAACCATTATTTTCCAGTTATTATTATTTCAAAACACAGTTTTCAGTTTATTATTTTAAAACAAAGTTTTTCATCCAGTAATTATGATTGTAACATTTCACATAAAACTATTCAGTGATCCATGCTTGCAACATTTCGCATTGAACTAGGGTGCCTAAAGTTTCAGTAAACCCTCACATTAGTACTGCTCAGGGTGTGTGTGTGTTAAAACCAACAGCTCCCGTTATCACATTTTTGTTTAACTAAGCTGTGTACTTCTTGCACCAATGTTCCACCAACCGGCCTTATCCTGACTTTTCTGCTGCTTCTGAGGCCTAAATGACCTTGGCCATCTGCCCTTCTGTTGCTGTACTCAGAACATTATTGATCCCAACCATCTGCTGTGCTCAGAATTCCATCTTTCCTTAGAAACCTACCCTTGCAAAAGCTGCACTTTAGGATTATTCATTAACAGTCTACTCCTGCAAAGGTGCACTATCTAATCAGCCTTATCTGTAAAGCTGTACTGCTCACAGCTCAGACCTTTTCCATGTTAAGGCACAAAATGGTTAGACCTTTAAACCAAGCCCTTTTATTCAATGTAAAAGATGACATGCATATAACTTTAATCATAGGTGCACACTAATTCTCTACAGAACTTTCCTACTGACTGTCTCACCTTCAAAACTGAGTCCATCTGTCCCGATTTATGACAGTGGATGATGATGATGATCACATATAAAGAAGTCTCATTATGTGTTGTAAAATACAGTTGTAAGTTTATACCACATTGTAGTGAGTTAACATCAAGCCTCTATTTACATACATTTCTCGAGGCAGCATACCAGGATATGTCATTCAAATTAACAACCCTTTTTAGAACCCAGCTGGCTTCCCAGGTAATTCTAAAGAAACTATTATGGATGGATGAATACATGGATTACGCTATGCTGACAGACAAAGCAAACCTTATTGCCACAGCTGATGTTGATCCTGAATTACTTGCACTACCTGATCCACTTGTGTGGGTTGTAGAGTTTGTTTAATGCTTCCATGAATGTGAAGGCACCACCAACATTCAAAAGTGTACAAAACATCAGCCAGAAAGTATTGATAGTGAGAAGTGGCCCCCACCTGCAGGACCGCTCCTTCATTGTTTTGCTATTTGCCTATAATTTCCACCAGTTGTCTTTTCCATTAGCACAACAGCAAGTGCAACTGATTGTCAGTCGGTGTTGCTTCCAAAGTGGGCAGTTTGATTTCACAGAAGTTTTACTTAATTCAAGTTATATTATGGTGTTTTCCCTTAAGTTTTCTTTTTTTAACAGTGTATTTTATTTGTAATTTCAAAACTTATATCTTTTTGATCAATAACTTTTAAAGCAAGAGGTTTTTTTTTTTTTTTTTTTTTTTTTACAGAGCCGTAATTATATTCATTTTTGTAGGTCTTGTGATAAAGAAAAGCATAATATCAAAGCAGAGAATTGATATATTGTCACTGTCAGGAAAAAACCTTGTAACTCCCATTTTGGACTTTTTTTTTTTCATAAATTGATACGATTGGTCAGTCCCCATGTGTGAACGTATGTTTTGGAAAATATTAACCAATTAAAAGTGTTAAAAAAAGGTTGGGACTTAATCTCGTTACTCCATTGGACTCTTCCGCTGTCGCTGTTTTTACAATTTCCTGTAAACTTTATGGTTTTGGACATACGAGGTTTCCGTCCGACAGCAACAATATATTCTTTTATGGGATGTTAATTTTTTTACTCAAACCTGTCTTTTATTTTTGCATCGTATTTGAATATATATTAAGAGTTCCTTTTCCATACTAGCTATTTATAAGAGCCATTCCCACTCCTGATGTCTGGTACAGTATGTTTACTGTATGCTATATTTGTTGTGTTTACTTCAAGATATTTCTGAGGTTAAACTTCTATATATTTAATTTGTTAAAGCAAAACACAAGGGGTCTATAATAAAGCTCAGTTTTCTTGAAAACTATCATAGCCTGGGAAAGAAGGGGTTCAATGTAATATTAGCAGCTTGACATGCAATTTGTAGTTGTGGTTGTTTTAAAGAACAAGGTCTTGCTTGTGTGGCATACAAACTTTGCAAATTATTTTTACGTTTATTAGCATTATTTCCCTACAGGCATCCATGGCAACCAGTTTGCATGTACAAGGGAATAGTCTTAATACTTATGTATCAAACAGAAAGCCTGAGACTGACTATAACACCAGGAATTTCTAATGCAGTCCTCAGAGCAGCATCGTGATGGGGAAGATCATGTTGGGACTCTTGTTTCTTCTAGGTGAGTGACTTCAGAATTACATTTACTGGTATTGAAACTTTTTGGGGAAAGCAAGACTGAATGATGAAAAATATGATTTTCAAATCTATCTTCCAGACTGTGTGGTCCTCTCCACCTGCCTCCAACATCAGTACTATTTTGTGAATCAATCTTTGACTTCGACTGAAGCTCAGACCTACTGCAGGCAGAAGCACACAGACCTGCCCTCCATCCTAAACTCTGAGCAACAGAACCAACTTATGGACACTCTTACATCTGCTGGACACAGCTCTGATGTCTGGATTGGTCTGTTTAGTAAAATCCACTGGAAATGGTCTGATGGTTACACTGGGAGTGGAGCGGACTACAGATGCTGGAGTACTTCAAATCCACCTGGTTTTAGTTATTCTGATGAGTTATGCGTTGTATCATACCAGAGTGGTACATGGTTTGATGCTCAGTGTTCAAACAATCGTCCATTTTTATGTTACAATGGTAAAAATTATACATTATGAGACACCAGTATTTAGAGCATTATTTTAAGATGTAGAATCTCTATTCAACCTTTTTCCTACAATGTCACCACTAACAGGTTCACAGTTGGATCCTGAATTTGTTTATGTGAATACACTGATGAGTTGGTCCAGTGCTCAGATGTACTGCAGAGAGAACTTTACTGACCTGGCGACCATAACAAGTTACACACAGAACCAGCGAGTCAAGAGCTTGATACCTCCTAATCATTATCCATGGATTGGTCTATATAGAGATCCAGATCATCACTGGTCTGATGGGAGAAGCATCCTCTTTACCAACTGGGATTCAGGTCTTAATCGGATTGGCTCAATGACGGTCATATGCGGAGCTACATCTACTGGGAGATCAGGGAGATGGAAGTTTTTACCCTGTGAAACAAAATTACCATTTGTTTGTTATGGTGCTCCTGGTGAGTGTGTTTTTAAATCCATACGAGAAAATAAGAAGCTGCTTTTCCTAAGAGTCAGGCATGTCCTGATGAGTTTGATTTTTTCCCTAGTATTTTGTACTGAGATATCGGAATCTTTCTAAGTTAATATCTAAAACATTTTATAAAGTTCAGTAAACAAATCAAATTGCAATACTCTGAGATTCAGAAAATAATATCTAATTAGTATTGCAGCAACAAGGTTCAGAGTTCGATTCCCAGCCGGGGGTCTTTCTGCAGGGAGTGTTCATGTTCTCCCTGAACATGCGTGGTTCTCTCTGGGTACTCCTTCCTCACACAGTCTAAAAATATCACTGTTAGGTTAATTGGCCTTTCTAAATTCTCCTCTGATTGTTTGTCCTGTTTGTCTCTGTGTTGCCCTGCGATGGACTGGTAACCTGTCCAGGGTGTACCCCGCCTCTCGCCCATAGACAGCTGGAGATGGGCACCAGCACCCCTCGTGACCCCGCTTGGGATAAGCATGACAGAAAATGGATGGATGGATTGTATTTCACTAAAGGCCTTCACCAATGATGTTCAAGTTGCTTATTTTACCTCTTGTTCTTATTATTGACAGAAAGTAAAGTTTCTAACTGGAGCTTTTTGTTACAACCTTGAAGCATCAACATATTTCAACATAGGGTAACTAGGTTAACTAACATTTACTAAGTGGTTTTTACCAAGTACTATCCTATGCTCAGCCCAGAGAATCTGAAGAAGCCCTTAATGTGGGCCCAACACAGAGTTGGACGTCAGAATTGGATGCCATTCAATCTGGGTGGCAAGTCTTGGAATGCTAATTCCTGGAAGCATAACTTATCTTTGATGGAGAGGAATTCGACAAGTAAAAACAGAAGGGGAAAAAAAATCAAATTCAATCAACAAAATAACAAATACACCATATACTGTACAATTCTTTCTGGCTCTACTCATATAAACTTATCTTTATTTGGATACAGTAGCTTTTTATCCACAAGATCAGGATTTCAGGAACTCATTGTGGTCAGAGACTACGGAAAACCATCCCATTAAGAGATCTGCAATATTTAGGATTTCAGATAGGATTGGAACAGTCCTACTCAGAATTATTAATTTGAAACTTAATTATATTTCAATGTGTTATTTATTTAAATGTGTAAAAAACCTGATAGCAAAAAGTAAAACCCCATATTTTAAATCAGTCATAAAACAGGTGGTGAGACTCAGACTGCATGTAGACGACTCGGTGGATCTGAATGACCCTGTTCTAAGAGAGAATATCCTGAGAGAGGCAAGTTTGAAATTATGACAGTTTGTATCGAAATCAATATTTAACTTTGATATTAATATTCAAAAATCTATATTTGTATGTATTCTAATGTTGTCCTGCAGCTCCGGAGCAAACTGCAGGAGAACGGAGTGAGTGTAGTCACCCTAAAGTGGAGAGAGAAGTCTGATGGGAAAATCTTCAAAAAGGAGAAGAAAGAATTATAACCTGAAATATTAAAACATGTTTGCTTTATCCTAGGTTAAAATCTACATTTTTATCATTCAGGAGTACAGTAATAGCTCATAACCTGTTTGCTACTATGCTAACTCTTTGCTAACTGTTACAATGATTTTAAAAATATCTAAATGATGTGCACACGATATGTACATTTTATGGTGTTGGTTTAGACTTTATGACATGTAATAGTAAATATTAATCGAAGCAATGTTTGTGATGATCTACGGTTTTTTGTGCAGTTTTCTGATCAATTCTAGTTTGTCTGTGATTGTCAGTAAAATCTTGCTGTTTCAGGTCCCATTATTGTTCATTAAACATCAAAGTTATTCTTGAACATTTGTAATACAACAATATAGATATGAGACATCTTGTCTCATATATTTAGTTATGCTTTTTATCAAGTGAAAAATGTTTTTACTCAGTTTGTTTCACCTGCAAGGCTGAGAAAATGTCTGAATGAGGGTTGGTTTTAGACAAAACATACTTATTCCCACGACAAGCCAAATTGTTTCTCAAGGTTTGTTAAAGCATGATTAATTTGTTTTGGCTCTGACACAACCTTCACAGTTTTTTCCTCAACAACAGTAAGGGAGACAAACTCTGTCTAGTCAGAAAAGAGCAGAACACTGTGCCGTAAGAGCTGTATGATGAACTGTGCTCTCTTTGCAAAGGTATGAAAATAAAGTGCCGACTGAGTGAAATCAATCGTTTATTTAACTGGGGTGAATAGTTGAATACTTTTTTTCCCACTACACAAATTATTTTTGGTTTTCTGATTTAGGATTTAATCTGAAGAGAGAAATATAGTCTTGTCTTTCCAAGTAACTCCATGACTTCTTAATCTGTTCCTTTAGCTTTTTCCATTAGTTTCCAAAACACCGGCGGAGAAAGTTTATTTCTGCAACAGTGCAGCATTGCCAGTTACTTTGAGGGCACTAAACTTGAGATTACAGGTCAGGCTCCCCTAGTGGCAAAAAGTTAAAAAGTTTTGTTTAAATATATTCATATATTTTTTGAGTGAGTTTGTGGTTAATTGATTCCATAAGTTGTCCAGAGTTAACTGTTTGACCATGAATGAGCTTGGACCACACTCTTATCTGTTGTCCCAAAACTGGGGAGGTCGTCGCGGGTAAACATGACAGACAGTTATTTAAATAACAAATTAATAGAAAGGCACATTATTATTAAAATAGGTAGTTTTATGGTTATATTTATGAAAAAATAGTAAAGAAATATTGATTTAAATCTAAATTTCCAAGGCAAATTTTATATAATTTGGCCCTGATTACGTCATTGAAAACACAAAAATAGGAGAAAAAAAATCTACTCAAGAAAACCAGCCTCATTCCTAATTTCAAAACAACCCTTACTGTAAATCTACCATGTTCATAAATATTTTGTGTGTTTCTTTATTAGAGAAAGATAAATCCTGGTTTAAGGTATGAGTGAGGATCAGTTTCAGTTTTAGACCTTCAGACAATTTTACAAAGTGAGTACTGTCATGATGGGTTCACTGGTGTGACCCAATTATGCAGAACACCACTGAGACGGAAACTGGAGAAAAAGGTTTAACAGAGTTTATTGTTACAAGCACTGAGATAGTGACTGGTTCTGGTTCAGGCCTGGGAAACTGGTTCACCGGAGTCTGCGTGAGAAACAGTTCAGTTAGCGTTGCGCATAGGAGTTTGATTCTTGACAGTTTCAGATTTGTACCTTGAGGGTTCTTGATTAAAGCCTTGAGAGGGAAGCTGTTGGATCTGGAGAGGATTTGATCAGCAGAGTCCGTAAGCTGCTTCAGCGTCTTACTTCTTAAGGATGAGCAGACCTTGGCTTAGAGTTTCCAGCTGTTGGTCCAGAGCTGCATGGAAGTTCAGAGAGAGGCTTCAGGTTTGGCTCAGAGGGCAGGCTCGGCAGGTTAAGCTCTTCCAGAGCTTCACAGGAGAAAAACTGGTTTCCTGGAAGACAGAGACAAAGGTTAGAATCCAGTCTGGAGTCAAAAGTCAACAAAGGTTCACAGAGATACTAGGCTTAGGTGCTAACCAACTGGATCAACACTGCGGCGTTGAGGCAAGGTCTGAAGACAGCTTAAGTACTGTGGATCCTCTGATGATAGAATGGGCTGCAGCTGTGCAGGAGGCTCAACTCAGGAGGATCCACGGCGGACTCTGCTGGAGAAAGGTGGTACTTCTCCAGCTCCCAACAGTACCCCCCCCTCAACGACCGCCCCTTGGCGGTCCGGAAGAGGTCGATGGACAGGAACGCTCGTACTCCTCAATCAGGGATGGATCGAGGATGTAAGAACCGGGAACCCACTGGCGATCCTCCGGGCCGTAGCCCTCCCAGTCGACGAGGTACTGCCAGCCGCGACCTCGCCGACGGGAGTCCACGATTCGACGGACGGTGAAGGCAGGATGACCATCGACTTCCAGGGCGGGTGGTGGGGAGTCGGATGGTGGGCACAGAGGACTTGAGACTACAGGTTTGACTTGAGAAACGTGGAAGGTAGGATGAATACGGAGAGACTGAGGCAGTTGAAGACGGACGGCTGAAGGGTTGATGACCTGGGAAATCTTATACGGACCAATGAATTTGGGAGAGGGTTTACGAGACATTCCCTTGAGGGGAATGTCTTGAGTGGATAGCCGTACCTCTTGACCCACGGAGTACTCGGGGGCGGGGCGTCTTTTGGAGTCGGCAAAGCGCTTGGTAGTCTCAGAAGATCGATTGAGGGTCGTGATGGTTTCTCTCCATATCCGTTGGCAGCGTCTGATGTGCTGGTTGACTGACTGGACCGAAATCTCTCTCTCGTCTGCGGGAAAAAGTGGAGGTTGGTAACCGAGACTCACCTGAAATGGTGATTGGCCAGTGGAAGCAGATTTGAGGGAATTATGAGCATATTCAATCCAAGTGTGATATTGGCTCCAGTCGGTGGGGTTGTTAGATGTCAGACAACGGAGGGTCGATTCCAGCTGTTGGTTCATCCTCTCTGTTTGGCCGTTGGACTGTGGGTGATAACCGGATGTTAGAGAGGACTTACAGTCGAGAGCAGAACAGAATGCCTTCCAAACTTGGGATATAAACTGGGGGCCACGGTCAGAGAGGATCTCCTGGGGGATGCCATGTAGAGGGAAAACGTGTTTCACTAGAAGCTGAGCGGTTTGGAAGGCCGTGGGAAGTTTCCTGAGAGGGATGAGATGACAGGATTTCGAGAATCGATCAACAATGGTGAGAATAGTTGACATACCTCGGGAGACAGGGAGACCAGTGACGAAGTCGATAGCTATATGGGACCATGGACGCGAGGGAACCGGAAGAGGCTGTAGCAGGCCTGAAGGAGGCTGATGTGAGGCTTTATTTCTTGCACAGGTGGGACAGGCCAACACATACTCCTTGACATCTCTGTGAAGAGTTGGCCACCAGAAGCGTCTCGAAATTAAGGCGACGGTTCTACTGACCCCCGGATGGGCGGAAAACTTGGCTGCATGCATCCATTGAATTAGGCGAGACCTGACAGAAGATGGCACATATGTTCGGTTAGCTGGACCGTTACCTGGGTCGGGTTCTGTAGCCAGGGCGGTGTTTATTAGATCAGTGATCTCCCAGGTAACCACTCCAACTGTACAAGATGCGGGAAGGACAGGTTCAGGCGTCTCGGGTTGATCGACGGAGTATAGACGAGAGAGAGAATCGGGTTTGACATTCTTGGATCCGGGTCTGTAGGAGATAAAGAGATTGAATCGTGAGAAGAAAATGGACCACCTGGATTGACGGGGATTGGCTTGTTTAGCTGACTGGATGTAAGCAAGGTTCTTGTGATCTGTCCAAACTAGAACCGGGTGCTCAGCTCCCTCCAGCCAGTGTCTCCATTCCTCCAGCGCCAACTTGATGGCCAGCAGCTCACGGTCTCCAACATCGTAGTTTTGCTCTGCGGAAGAAAGTCTTCGAGAGAAAAAAGCACACGGATGGATCTTTTGATCAGTGTCGAGTCTCTGAGATAGGACAGCTCCTACACCTGAATCTGAAGCGTCCACTTCGAGGATGAATTGTTTGGATGGGTCAGGCTGAATTAACACGGGTGCTCTGGAAAACAATGATTTCAGTTTCTCAAATGCAGTTTGTGCCTCAGGGGTCCATTGAAAAGTTCGTTTGACTGAGGTTAGCGAGGTTAAGGGAAGAGCTGTCTGGCTATAGTTCCTGATGAATCGGCGATAAAAATTGGCGAAACCCAGGAATCTCTGTAGCTGCTTGCGGTTTTCAGGAACTGGCCATTCCAAAACAGCCTTTATTTTGTCCTCAGAAGGCTTAACCTGCCCGCCCTCGAGCACAAACCCCAAAAAGGTGACTGAACGCTGATAAAACTCACATTTTTCAGCTTTGACGAACAGTTTGTTCTCCAGTAATCTTTGCAACACAAGGCGGACATGTTTCTTATGTTCTGAAAGGTTCTTTGAATAAATGAGTATGTCATCAATGTAGACGAACATGAACACATTTAAAAAGTCTCTGAGAACATCATTCACAAGGGCTTGAAAACAGTCAGGGGCCTTTGTTAAACCAAAGGGCATGACCAAGTATTCGAACTGACCCAAGGGGGTTTTGAAGGCTGTTTTCCACTCATCTCCATCACGGATTCTAAGAAGATGATAAGCATTCCTCAAATCTAGTTTGGTGAAAACAGTTGCCCCTTGTACAGGTTCAAAAGCTGAGGCGAGTAGAGGAAGAGGGTACTTGTTTTTAATTGTTATTTGGTTAAAACCTCTGTAATCGATACATGGTCTTAAGGAACCGTCCTTCTTGCCAACGAAAAAGAACCCAGCACCCAACGGAGAAGAAGATGGGCGAATTATCCCAGCAGCTAAAGACTCGTTAATGTACTTTTCCATGGTTTCTCGTTCTGGTTTGGAAATATTGTATAGTCTGCTGCTGGGTAGAGGTGCTCCAGGTAATAGCTCGATCGCACAGTCATATGGTCTGTGTGGTGGAAGGGACGTAGCACTGACCTTACAGAAGACAGGAGCCAAATCATGGTACTCAGAAGGGACAGAAGAAAGGTCAGGAGAGTCCATCTCCCCCCCACCTCTAGGAGGCCCCACCACGGGGGCAGCCGATCGGAGGCATGTTTCATGACATAACTTAGACCATGATTCCACATGACGATCAGTCCAGTTAATATGTGGATTATGTTTCTCCAACCATTCAAATCCAAGCACCAGGGGAGAGCATGCGGAGGGAAAAACAAAAAATGTTATGGTTTCACGATGGTTACCTGAAAGTAGTAGCTCGAGAGGTTGAGTTTGATGGGTAACTTGGTGGAGTATTTTCCCATCAATGGCAGAGACACAAAGAGGTTGGGTCAGGGGAATAGTTTCAATCTGAAGTTGTTGAACGAGGTTAGAATCAATTAAGTTTCGTTCACAGCCTGAATCGATGAATGCAGAGAAAGAGAGGCTTTGATTAGCACAAAACAAAGTGGCAGGAAGCATCAGTCGAGGAGATTTCTTAGAGTTAGTATGGCCCGCCAGACTCCTCAGAACCTCTGGCGGGCCCCGGCTTTTGATTTAGCCGGGCAAGAAGCAATGAAGTGTCCACTCTCACCACAGTAGATGCATAGTTTACTCAAAAAACGTCTTTGTCTTTCCTCTGGAGTGAGCCTGGTGTGTCCCACCTGCATGGGTTCGGCATCCATTTCCCCAGAATGAGAGGCCTGAACAGGCAGAGTGAGAGACTGGGCTTTAGATCTCGGATTGGGCAACTGTTCTGTGGGAGAAGAAAAAACAGTCACATTATTTGAGGTAGGGGCAGAGGAAAAGGATCCCAGACTTCTTGACTTGGAGCTGTTTCTAGCTCGGATTCTATTGTCCAATTTTATCGTCAAACGGATCAATTCTTCGAGAGTGGCTGGTTCGTCGAGGGTTGCTAGTTCATCCTTAATGCTTTCATTCAAAGCCATAAAATAAGCCCCTTTTAGAGCGCTTTGGTTCCATCCGGAAGCTGCCGCTTTAACCCGGAAGTTGATGGAGAACTCTGCCACAGAGGAATTTCCCTGCTTAATGTTGAAAAGAGCACGAGAGTCAATGGTTTGATCTGTTTCTTGATTAAATACCTGAGAAAATTCAGAAATAAACTCTGAATAACGGCAATCGAGACTTTCATCGGAGGCAAACCTTGCCTGAGCCCACTCCAAGGCTCTTCCTGTTAATTGGGAAAGAATAAAAGTTATCTTCTTATAGTCAGTTGCCAGGTGAGTTTTGAAAGATTAAACGGCACTAAAACAAAAATCCCTTGCAGTCTTTCATATTACCGGAGAATCTTTCTGGTAGGCTTGGGCAGAACTCTGATGACGTCACTGCTGGTAACCTCGGAGGTGGAGCTGGACCCGGAAATGGTTGCGCTGCCGGCGTGGCATCAGCATTGCTCAAAAAATTAGCATAACTCTGAAGCATATGATTGTGAGTATCAACCAAACGGTATAACTCACGGAGGGTTTGGGTTTGTCCTTGGATTTGGGCATCTTGCTCCTCCAAGCGACGGCGGAGGTGATCTGCTGGGCCTTGTGTTTGGCCGCAGTGTTCTGTCATGATGGGTTCACTGGTGTGACCCAATTATGCAGAACACCACTGAGAAGGAAACTGGAGAAAAAGGTTTAACAGAGTTTATTGTTACAAGCACTGAGATAGTGACTGGTTCTGGTTCAGGCCTGGGAAACTGGTTCACCGGAGTCTGCGTGAGAAACAGTTCAGTTAGCGTTGCGCATAGGAGTTTGATTCTTGACAGTTTCAGATTTGTACCTTGAGGGTTCTTGATTAAAGCCTTGAGAGGCAAACTGTTGGATCTGGAGAGGATTTGATCAGCAGAGTCCGTTAGCTGCTTCAGCGTCTTACTTCTTAAGGATGAGCAGACCTTGGCTTAGAGTTTCCAGCTGTTGGTCCAGAGCTGCATGGAAGTTCAGAGAGAGGCTTCAGGTTTGGCTCAGAGGGCAGGCTCGGCAGGTTAAGCTCTTCCAGAGCTTCACAGGAGAAAAACTGGTTTCCTGGAAGACAGAGACAAAGGTTAGAATCCAGTCTGGATTCAAAAGTCAACAAAGGTTCACAGAGATACTAGGCTTAGGTGCTAACCAACTGGATCAACACTGCGGCGTTGAGGCAAGGTCTGAAGACAGCTTAAGTACTGTGGATCCTCTGATGATGGAATGGGCTGCAGCTGTGCAGGAGGCTCAACTCAGGAGGATCCACGGCGGACTCTGCTGGAGAAAGGTGGTACTTCTCGAATTCCCAACAAGTACATTTTGATCGGTCCTTACAGGCTATTTTCCAACAGTTATGATTAGGGCTAAAATGTTCATCAGACATCAGTGAGGTATGCATTGGTAATGGTTAGGTTTAGGGTTATTTTTATGGTTAGGGCAGAGAAAGGGTTCAAAATAACTTAAAATAAATGGAGGTCAATGGTAGTCAAAATGAGTATGGTTGTGTGTTTGTTTCCACATGTTGACAATTTACTTAGGAAGCAGAGAAAAAAAGCTTAAAGTTGCAAATGTTTCCAGTGTTTTCTATGCAAAAAATCTCTGCTGCCCAAAAGATATTTGCATTAAAAAGGAATCAGGCAGTATGTTATCCTAATGTCTCTTTCTTCATGAAAAGGGCTGGTGTTTTTCCACGAGGCATTATAAAGTCAGACTAAAGGTTCAGTTCTCAGAGCAGCGTCAACATGGCCAGGGTCTGGTTTGGAGTCCTGTTTGTCTCAGGTCAGAAATATTTTGATATTATCTTCTGTGATGAATAACATGCTAAATAAAAATTTCAAAGAGGAGCCACTGATATATTAATCATGTTTGTTTTGTTTTTCAGTCTGGCTGAACTTCTCAAGCTGCCTAGTTCTACAGTTCAACTTTGTTCATAAATCTTTGAATTGGACTGAAGCTCAGACCTACTGCAGAGATAAATATGTAGATCTGGTCACCATACAAAACCCTGAAGAAAATTCAATACTTCTCAACTTGCTTTCAGCTGCTGGTCATGACTCTGATGTCTGGATTGGTCTGTTCAATGAAATCGACTGGAGATGGTCTGATGGCTTCTCAGGAATCGGAGCTGATTACAGGAACTGGACACCATCCAATGATGAGCCTAACTTTGCTTCAGGCGATCAGTTTTGTGTTAATGCTGACATTGAAGGAACATGGTGGGATGATTTCTGTGGCAATGAGTACCCGTTTATCTGTTACAATGGTAACCATGTTTGATTTGCTATTTTAAAGTGTTTCTCTGATATATTGGCCAGCCACCTACTCACCTATGTTTTCTGTGTCCTCATTGTCAGGCACAGAGCTGGAACCTGAATATGTTTACGTGGCGGAAGGAAGAAATTGGGCAGATGCCCAGAAATACTGCAGGGAGTTCTTCATTGATCTGGCCACAATGAGGAATAACACAGAAAACCAGATGGCCCTGACCTTGATACCATCTGGTGAATACTCGTGGATTGGACTATCTAGAAACTCAAACAGTTTTCACTGGTCTGATGGAAGCTCTTTCCTCTTCTCCAACTCTGACGGAATCTATAATCCACTCGGCTCAATGAAGGTCATATGTGGTGCAACATCTAATATGAGCTCAGGAGAATATAAGTTTTTACCCTGTGAAAGCAAACTACCATTTGTCTGCTACAGTTTTCTTCCTGGTGAGTGTTCTACTGAGATAAAATAACCAACAGTAGTTCAAAAACATGCTTGATATTTATAACAGGAAATCTGTTTGGCTTAGATGCACAGCTAACGCTTTTATATTTATGTGTCAGTCTTGGTCAATAAAATGTTCAACAGTGATGATATTTTTGGGTCTCTTCTTAAATTTGAAGAAATCAAAAAAAGGGTTGTGAAGCTGAGACTGAAGACAGACGACTTGGTGGATCTGAATGAGGATTCTCTGAAAGCAAACATCCTAAAAACAGTGAGTCCGGACATTTTTTAGTCACATCTGTAGGATCTTTGATCACATTCCAAATCGAAGCTCAATTTAAAGAAAAAAAAAACTGTGATGTATCTCAGATCTTTTTTAGTAATCATTGTGTGTCTTTCAGCTCCAGGATAAACTGGCAGAGCATGGCGTGAGTGGAGTCACGTTGAAGATAAGACAACAGGCTGACGGAGAAGTTTTTAAAAAGGAGAATGACCGAAAGAAGACTGAACTGTAAAACATCTGTTATTTCATGATCCCTCATTTTTTTTCCTTTGAGTTGAAGTTGTAATATACTCATTCATTACACTAGAATACTACTAAAAGTCCTATTTCAATACTTATATTGATGTAATCAAGTCTATTCCAATACTTCAAAAACTATTAGCCAAAAATTGCCACAAGAAACTCAATAAATTGAATCAAATCTCCTCACATAGACTGACACAGAGTGGTGTTAAACATGTAGGATGAAAAAAACACAAACAGTTTGTAGAAGATAAAAGAAACATAGAGAGTCCTAAGTAACATATTATATTGAAATGCATTTAATTAAACTTTTGTGTAAATGTTTTACACCCCACCAAAGCCCAAATGTTTCTCTATAGGCAGCAGGTTCAACCGCTCTACCAGACTGTTCTACAGTTCTTTAGAATAAATAAAAGGAAAATATTTTATAGGGCTAATTCTTTTCCTGTTTAGGCTTTTTGAACTAGATAAAAGGTTGATAAGACCAAATTGTACTTTAATTTTTATGTTAGAAATATAGAAATCTTTTGTGTGAAGTAAAATAAGTTATTTATGAAGTACTATAATTTTTCTCCTGAGGCTCTATGTTAGTTTCTGAAAAAATGTTATTATTTGTTAGCTCTATTATTCAGACTTGCTACAAATTATTTATTTCAAAACTTTGACAACTTAATCATGTGTACTTTTTATTTGGACGGCATGTTTTCAAACTGAGTAAATTTAGAAATAAAACCAAACTGTCACTAACACCGTGTAAATTCCCTTGATGTTCTGTCTTTAAGATCATTGTGGTTCTATATCATTATTTCTTTGTTTGTATATCAGCAGTTTTTTTTTGTTGTGCTGTTATTATTACGTAATCATGAAATTTTTTTGCAGACATTATGATTAGAAATTAGAATATTGAATTATTCATTGTAATTAAAATTATCCAAAACTCATAGATTTTTTAGGTAATTGCAATTTAGGGCTACCGGCTTTAACTCAATACAATAAAAAATTAGATAACCGGTTTGCAGTTCTAAACTTAATTTATCAAAACTGTGGGAATTTAAACCAGTTAAGGTCCAGAGCTTTTTTTAAACACAACTAAATGTAAGCAATTTTAATATATATCTGCAATTGGTCATAAATAATAAATTTCTCTATATTGTCAAGCTCCTAATTCAAAATATTTATTAAAGTTAGGCTTGAGAGACAGCAGATGATGTATATAAAATAACAGATTAACTAGACTTAATGGGATCTGCAGAAATGATGAATCTAGATAGCAGTTGTTCTTGGACAATTAAACAATTCATCAAGCTTTTCCTAAAGCGCTGAATAATCATCAATTAAATAAAGCAACACAACTTTGGGTTGAATTTGAAATGTTGAACAAGGATTCTAGTGCTACACCTAAAGGACCAGAAGCCACTCATGGTTACAGCATGGGGGGAGCGGGGGGAGCACAAAGAAGACTAACGACTGCACTACTTGTAGGTTAAGTGTGTTTGGTCACAGAAAAAAAAGAGAGACGGATAGAAAAAGAGAAGAGGAGAAAATGAGTGATCAAGTGCTGCATATCTCTGGTTGTCATGTTTTATTTTATCAAACCATAGGCAGAGCAGCCAAGTTTTAGGAAATGACAAGAGACTTTAGTGTCATGATGCATTCATAAGAAAAACTCTTTTTAATGTCGATTTATACATTTAGACTAATGTCCTCAGCTCAACGCCAGCTGCTCTCACTGCACTCTGGCTTCCATATAAAACATAAAAACTAGTTAATGAAAGAGCCTTTAGATTCGCCCCGTTTGATATATATTTCATTTCAAATAATGTTGTGGTGTCACATGTATGCACATTTGTTACTTAAGTAGAAGTATAGATACTACTTAAAATATAAAAGTATAAAGTAACCTTTAAAAAAAACAGCCAGATGCCACTATATGAATTAAAAACAAAATTTTTCAACTAGTTTGAAAAATTCTTTGAGATAGGGCCAAGGATGAGGGAGGTCTTGTTGGTCTCCGTCTCCATCTCTCGATACGCTCTCGCCTGTGTCCGACCTTTCAGACATTTCAACATCTTTTCTGAATCCAACATTGTAGCATGGCATAGACAATTCACGTTAGCAGTTTGAAGAACACCTGCTTGCTTCTGATGATTTCCTTTAGCTAACCAATGAGTGTTTGCGTTATATGAATCATCCCATTACACCAGTTTTCCCTAGATGTGGATTACGCCAATGATCTGCATTGGATGGAGCACATGACGGGAAATAAATATTTATCAACATTAAGCCAAAGCCAAAACTAACAAGTAACGTTTGTTATAAAAATGTAAGGAATAGAAAGTACAGATTCTTGTGTGAAAATGTAATGTGTAGAAGTCAGAAGAAGGAAGAAAATAAGTAATGGATTAAAGTATAGATACCTAAAAAGTGTACTTAAGTACAGTAACAAAGTATTTGTACTTCTTTACTTGACACCTCTGAACTAATGTTGTGTTTGTTGCACATTTTGGGCAGTCCTACAAAGAGCCCAGTACCCCAGTAGAACTGGTACTGGAACCTGTTGTGGTTCCTGTACTGAAAGCAGACACAGCCAAATTGTAAATATAATTAGGCAGTCTTTTATTGAAATAAGTTGTAAACAGATTAAGATGTTTAAAATAAGAGACAAAGTATCTCTATTATCTTATTTCGAGTCCATATTATCTTTTAATCTAAGTTTAGGAGCAGAGATACTCATTCGTTTGCCAGATCAGCCTATTTACCTGCTAAAATTAGGTGCAGACTTATTTTAAAACCTTTTTAGGTCAGTTTTTGAGGTGTAACTGAATCTGTTTCTCATGAGATATATACAAAGCAAAAATTGAGATTTCTTGTCAGTATTTTGGCGCTGATGGCATTTTGGATTGGTTATTTCCTTTACCTTTCTAGCTCTGCCCTGTTCCTCATCAGAACTTCCTGTTCCGGTTTCCTATTTAAACTCCCTGTTTCCCAGCCAACAGCGCCAGATTATTCTTGAGCTTTTGGTTAAGATATTCTTCTAACTTTCTTTGTTTTCTGATTATCTGATCCTGACCTGTTAGTGCCTTTGGACATTTGAGCCTGCCTGGCCCCTGTCTAGTTAATTTTGCCTGCCTGTCCCCGGTCTCCTGTCAGCTCTGCAGCCTTCCTTGTCTGGAACTTGCTGGCAGCGCCCGCTGTTTCTGTTCAGTCAACCAGCTGAAATGTAAAATAAATAATCCAAATGTTGCACAGTTTGAAATTATTTCTAGATCTTATTCGTTTAACGTTCAAATAATCTAAGAAGATATTTAGTATCATCACCATGCCACATTAGTCATGTATTTGAATAAAGCAGGTTTTAATGTATTTCATTTCAGAGTATCATACTTTTGACAACACTATTAATGCGTTATGCTATTCAAATCAATTTGGTTTGGATCTGAGCAGAATTGAACCTCATTTTTAGTAGATGAACACATTTGCGAGAAGTTGATAACATCTGTTTTATTGAAGCTTTCTTCTTGGGATTCCACCTTGCACTCAGCTGGTTGACAGACATACAATCCTATACATGGACATATTTAGGCTTATTTTTGGGAGCTTAACATAAGCCTGGTCGGCATTGTGAAGAACATGGCAGCGGTTCTTGTTTCAGGTCCTTATCAGTCATGTCACTCATCTCCTACTCCTGTCCTTTATCATTTTCCACCATGGTCTTAGTTTCACCCCATAGATAGCTTTCCATCTCAATAGTCATAGGTTCCAAACCCTCAGGTTCCTGAGTTTCTACATGAGGAGCTGCTGGATATCTGACCAGCTTCTCCAAAATGAACTGTGGTTCCATGAACTCCATCTCTGACCTCAGACCTGAGACTAGTTCATTTATAGGAGGGGCTTGAGTCATGTTGCCTTAGTAAAAGTACAGGTCTGATACACGGCTGCAGGTTAGACCTATTTACTCTCCTCCCCTGAGTATGTGGTTCAATGGACATCAACAGAGTGTCTGACCAGGCATCCTGGATCTGCTTTCTTCCTGGTGATTGATAGCGGATTTATACCAACTGTCTCTTGCTGTTGAGCTTCTCTTTCGCATAGTGACTGCCTACTTTAAAGATAGGAGGTTCAGCCTCATCCTGCTCTAGGTTTTATCAGGTATTTCTGCCCCTTTAAGTCTGTGGCTAGCTGTGACTATGACTTTCGTCTTACCCACTTGTTTGTGGTACAAAACCACTCCCAGGCCACGACTGCTGTCAATCGGTCTCTAGTATAAACGGGAGAGGGAAATATGTAAAGCCTGGTGTGGGTTCGCTAGTAAGAATTTCCTTCAAGAGTTTGAAAGCTTGAAGACACTGTGGTGTCCAAGCTAATCTGAAAAACTGATTAGCACTAGTCGGCTACTCTCTTTGACACAAGCGGTCACAACACTATGATGAGATCCTGCAATTTGTGAAAACCCCGTAAGAACCTCCTATATTAACTACAAAAGCTCAAACATGACCTGAGCTCTTTTATGGTGCTAGGGATAGGCTAAAGCTTTACTGCACTTATCTTCTCCTGGACTGAGACCTGGTGACCAAAGAACCTGACCTCAGGTTTGAGAAAATGACACTTCTCCACTTTAAATTTCAACCCTGTCTGCCTTATCCTCTTTAGGACCAACTCTAGTCTCACAAGATGATCCTGGAATGTTGATGAAAAAAAAGTAGGTACTCTAGATAAATTAAAACAATCTAAGAGGCTAAATGGCTTGTTGTAGCATACATCAAATGTTGAAATCTTGCAGGGGAATTATATATAGCAGATCAGATGGCATCCATAGTGTTGTGAATGCTGTTTAGTCCCTATCGCTCTCATGCATTGGAATCTGGTGATATCCACTTGCAAGTCCAATGATTTTAAATAATTTTGCTCAATCAGAGCATCCAAACTCTCCGCAATGTGTGGAAGTGGAAAAACATTACATATGGTTTTTGAATTCATGTCTGATAATCTACACACTGACTAAGGATAACAAGCCTGGCCTTCAGGTACAACCAGACATGTTCTGGTGAAAAATGTATTACTTGAACAGGAAATATGTTATTGTCACTGTGAAGAACAACAATCAACAATTAAATGGAAAGTGGAGTGGTCCGGGGTTCAAGCAATATAGTGACATCATCCTTAGACTATTTTATGTCATATTGTTTAGACTTTTGCAATAGATGAATTGGGTACATACACTTTGTGTTTGTCTACTACTCAAGCTTTGAACATCCTCTAAATGAGCTCTGGAACTAAGCCGCAGGCCTCTCTCCAGTCTAAGTCTAGCTCATCCCATATAAATGGGTCAAACTCAGAGAGTATTACCTGTCTGCACCGTTTAACAGTTGGTAATCCAATAATGCAGGGTAAAGAGTCTGGTTTGTTTGTGTCATCATCTTTGAGTATGAGGAAACCACTTTCTGGGATGGTAAGCCCCATTACTGAACCGCTTTGCAGTGCAGTGCAGGTCTCCATCCTCTACATGAAGGATGTTTCTGAAGAAACTTTCTGTGAAAGTCCTAGTATAACTCCCTGTGTCCAATAAAAAACCTCAGCGGGACACCGTCTATCTGGATTGCTACCTCTGGGCACTTTCCTACAGCGTTTTCTAGTAACTGTTCTTTGGTTAGAGTTTTTTTAAGCCTTCTGACCTGTCTCACACTGCCTGTATCATAGCATTGAAGACTTTTTGTTTCCTTGTTCTGCAGGACTAAA